GGTTTGCAATAGGCAAACAATTAGAAAAAAAAAAATAAGGCCCCGACCGTGCCGGACAAATGCAGGTCAATATGTGTTAAATATCATATGGCTCTGTAGAAGAACAGAGGCATATATATATACTTGCTCGGTTGCATCTTTTTTTTTTAAATTAAGCTCTTGATAACGAATTTTTGCTGACGGTGAGTTTCTCTTCTTAACGAGTGCCCTTGTGTGCGCGGACAGTAAATAATTATAAGCACACACGTGCAGAAAAATACATATGTACGCTTTTAGTTTTCCTCACGTCTGTCCTAATTAATTCGGCGTCCATACGAGTTAGCAACACACACAAAAAAAATGGCGGCCCGCACCCACTCCAAGCCAACCACAAAGACAACACGCGTTTCAGGCCCTCGGCTCTGTCCACATTCTCTTGTCCTCAGACCAAAAGACGAAAATATAAGAATACGCCAACAATAGTTACATGTACAACCGCCCCATCCCAAACACACACAATAAGGGCTTGTAATTCAAGCATTTACAAATAACCACGAAAAAAAAAACACATCACTGCGTTAACATTATGACAATAAGGGGGTATTGGCGCCCAGCAGCCTCGTTACTCACCATCCGTATCGCGTTTTTATTCAGTCTATCTCCTTGTCTTCATTCCCAAATCTTCTCCCTCACTAAACACCAACACAGCTGCCTCCCCATGACCTCAACTCCGTCGTGAGCACATCCCATGCTATTTGTCACTTCCGCCATTCGCACGGCATACTCGGCCAAATGTCAGGACCGAACCGCCGTTATGGACAAGGTTGAGCGAGTTGTAAATGCCAAAGCCTGACATAAAGGCAAGGGAGCCGGCAGTTATCGTCACTAAAGCCGCAACGATCAAAAAATGCGCCCTGTATTTCTTGATGAGTCTCATAAACACGAATTCGCCAAGAAATGCGCTCACAAGTCCGCATGCGAAAAAAACCCCTGCGTAGTCAATAAGGAGATGACCCTCAATCAACAAACTCAGCGCAGACGAAAGGGTTAAAAAAAGCGTTACAACGCCTCCTGTAACAGCGGCCTCTTCAGGGATGAGACCAACTTCATACAGGACAAAGCCCAATACCAGACCGCCCCCGATACCGAGCATGGCTGCCGCAATTCCAGCTACAATCGAGACCAAAGGATACAGAATTGTGGTTTTGGCATTACATAAAAATGTTACTCGGCACTTCTCCATTTTTGCCAGTCGATAACGGTACCAGAGGAACATAATAATATTTGCGAGAACCGGCACGCAATAAGTGACAATATACACTCCACCTCCGCATTTCGTTCGAGTCCTCCATACACCAAAGGCTAAATTCACAAGAAAAGAAGAGACCACGCACAAAATCTCCAGCCACGGATACTGAGGTTGGGAAGGGCGAGGCACTTCTTCGGGCACATCCAATGTATCCGCCGTTCCCGCCCCCTCCAAAGATGGGGAAGGAGCCGTTTCCCTTCTCGCAGCTTTATCTTTCCGGTATTGCGCAACCAGCTTTAGCACCGTGCGATACAAAACCACTGCGAGAAGAATAAACAGCAGGGACAAACGAATCAAGTCCGGGAACACCTTGCTTGGCACCCCTCCAACGAGAGTGCCAATGACTCCAAGTGGGATAAGAAGGGTCAGGTACTGATAGTTGATCAAAGGACGCGAGCATTCGGCAGAAGGAAAACGCTTCTGAACGGCAAGGAACACATTCACAACGCTCTGTCCGCACGTGGTAGACTGAGACAGTCCCACAGCAATATCCATTGGTAACCCCATCAGCAGACAAAACATGGGAATATGAATACCACCAGCTCCAACACCAGCCAATACGGCAATGGAACAAATGATAAATGCGCATATTAGTGCCACACCCGTGTGGGAAGAAAAGCCACTGACAAGGCCTGCAACAACGCACCTCCCCCCGTTGCACGTCATGGCCCTAGGGTAGCAGTCACCCGAGGCGTTGCAAGCGACGCAGCGACCGTGAATAGCATCACACGCCAAGGCTCCGCATTGCAAACGCTGGGTCACTCGAGTGCAGCTTTCGCACAGCGCGCCACTCGATAAGGAAAGGGCAAGCAGAAGAGCACACAGAAGCCTCTTCATCCCACGCATATGCGAACAGGCACACACACACACGCACGGAGCGGTAATAAAAACGGGGGTATACAAGAGTCTAGAGGGAGGTTATACTTGCTTTAGAAACGAAAGAAAAAAAAAAGAAATGGAAGATAATCCTTGACTTTACGGGCAATAATTAGAAACTAAAATACAGAAGACGATATTCTCTCGGGTTCCGCTAGGAAAACGCAAAATACACAAAGTTGAATAGAAGAATAAAAGAAAAAGAATCAAAAGCGACCGCGACAAAGAACGCGCCGCCTGTATGCATCATTCTAAAAGTTGAAAAAGGAAGCTTACAAAAGCTTCCGACGGCCTCGCTTTAGGGAAAGGCGGATCTTCCTGCGACGTCCTGCATTGATTTTCCAGGACCTTCCTGCAAAAGACTGAAAGGACCGGATCTGAGTGAACGGCACGCCGTCTGGAAAATGCGGCGTTGCAGGGCCCTTCTTTGCGCGCTTAAGGTCAAGTGACCATTGCCTATCAAACCACGGATGCCTTCGCTTCCACACCAATGGCTTTCGACGACCACGTTGAGCAGGTTGACCAGTTCCGCATGTTAGCTTTTCCACCTTCGGTATATCTATGAGTAAGGTGGGCATTCTCTTTTCAATACTCAGGACGGAAGGGAAGACTCGCGTCGGGGAGGGTCTCGCTAGTGAAGGAGTGTACGAGGTACACTTTACCCGTGGGAGCAAACAACGTGTAATGTTCCTTAACAGCATGTTCTACCTAGCAGTAGGGCAGCGGAGCAACAAAGACACAGGGAAGGCCTTTATCGACGGGGACCACACTCATCACTGGTTAACAGGCAAGGAATCTCAAGCGAGGAGACGGTTCGTTTCGTCTTCTGAGGGAGTCACGTTGCTCTTCCTTCGGCAAATGATGATGGCAAGCTAAGGCTCACGAGGTTGTATTTGTGCCTCCTTTTGCTTTTTCCAGCAATAAAGGATAAGGAAAAGGCCAATAAACAACAAAACCCAACACACATGCAGGAAAAAAAAAATTTAGCACTGTAGGAACCAACGGAGTAAACGTGGCGTGTGGCACCCAAATCACAAATGGCGACGAGTGTTGCGAAAGAATGCCGAACAGCAACTCTTGCAGTGGGTCAATCCAGGTGGTATGCATCTGACACAAACGAGCTGGTTACATCCCATACAAAATCTTGAGCATCCGGTGCACACAGTACTCCCGCATGGGCAGCGCAGATCTCCTCCAGAACAGCACATTAACATCTAATAGATGAAACTACTCAAAAAAAAAGGCTAAAAAAAAAGAACTAACAGAAAAAAACGCATCTCACACTCAGCACATAGTAGACAAGAAAGGGTATCAACTAGGGATGAACAATCAGGACAGCAATCGAAAGAAAGAAAAAAAAAAGGACAAGAAAAAAAACAACAACAATAGACAAGGAAAAAAAAAACTTAACGAACAAAAAGAAACCAAAAAAGAAAAAGAATTTACGGACTAAGTTAAGAAAATAGGTAAA